CTGGTAAGGAACAGAGGCAGGGTGAAGAAAGAGTTCTTACTTAACAGGGGAATGTACCACCCAGAAGTTCTGCAAAGCTACAGTCCCCCTACCACAAAAAGAGTCTAGCAGCAACTCTGTGATGATTCTGAGGGCAGCCTAAGGCACCTCCCAGAAAGGTTGGCCTGCCTTTTACCACACTATTGTGAATTTTAGGAACTGTTGATCAATAAATAGGAAAGATTCTCCAGAAAGGACATGCATAGAAACTCTTCATTCTCATTTTCCCAAGCAGTAGCTCTGGAAGAAGCCACCCAAAATATCTGAAAGAAATCAGGTTTAGGAAATCCATCTATGATGCGCTATTCTTCTGCACCAATTAAAGATGGGTATGAAATTTGATCTCCACAAGTTTCAGTGCAAACTGATTTGATTTGATCTGCACATCCTGGACAAATGTGGTGGGGTTCTAACTGCAATTATGTTTTGGATTTTGCACTTCTTTGCATGTGATGATATACTCTTGATTCAATACATATTTTAAAATAAGATGGATTTTAAAATGCACATTTTGAGATTAAATGATTAAATTATATTTTTAAGAAAACGTTTGCCTATTTTAATGCAATTTTCATGAACTTTTTAACTATTTCAGTAAGGAAACAAAACAGGCATCTTAATTAACATAAAACTGATTCATACTGGACTTAAACTGATCGGTCCTTCCTTAGTCTCAACCTATATCCTCCTTCTTTCTTTTTAAGTATCTTCCATTCTACTCTTGTCCACCATTCCTCATCCTTACTTTTGGGAAGTCCTCCGGAGCCGCTCAGTGTCGCTGTCACGTTTCTGTCGAGCCTGAGACACTAAGTAATTTTCTTTCTGTACCGATTCCCATGTCAGTAGCCGCCTATCTTGGGTCTCAGAGAGTTCTAGCACTGCCCAAAAGAGATGTAATTGTTGGTTCACAAATGGGTAATGATTCAGGATTCAGTTTAGTAAACAGCCACCTGAAGCCTATCCATTATCAGTGAAAAGAAACAGCTCCTCATCAGTTGATGTTAAATATATTACAGAGAAACTATGACAGTCTCTGCCTTAATGTGTTAAGGGATCAGTTGGTTATAAATTAGAAGCAGTTCAGTTGCTGAAATTTTGGAACCATATCTCTCTCATCTCAGTAAACCTTATTAAAGATTCTCACAGAGGGAGAATCTTGCATGGAAGAAGTGCAAATCTTGGGCAGCAGGCAAGGGTCTGATAACATGTTAGGTGCAGAATGAAGAAGAGAATGATTGAGAATGGTATAGAATTAAAATTAACCCTTTTAGATATTCACAAAGAGAGCTGGTGTAGAACAGTGGTTTCAGTATTATACTTGGACTATAGAGATCCAGCTCCCTCTACTAGAGAGTTCACTCCATAATGTTGGACTAGTTACTCTCTCCTCTCTCCTCCTCTGTGAATCTATCTCACAGAGTTGTTGTGGAGATGAACTTAGGAAAGTCTCATGTATGCCACCTTGAGTGTTCAGATGAATGGTGAAATATAAAGAGAATGAATTAATGAATGAATGACCTTGAACAGCCTTCCCATATCTGATGCTTTCTAGGTTTGTTAACACTGCAAGAGTTCCAGCATCCCTAGGCAGACTATCCCCGTCCATCCTAAAGTTGCCTATAGCACTCACAGAAGTCACGTCCCTTTGCGGACTGCGCCTTGCGGATGTGGCGCTTGAAGAAAAGATGTAGGTGGCTGATCAGGATGAAGGGTGGAGCCAATGCAGGCCGGCTATGATACTCCAGGATGAGGTTGTAACGCTGTGATTTCCAGTAGATATCGCTGTTGCCTTGCACTTTGGAGAATGTGTAACTATTGGCAGGAGAAACAATATGTTAGTCCCACCTTTCTCCAAGTTGGGGGAGTTTGACTTCAACTTGAATGGATCATCCCCCAGCCTGCACACAATCGTAGGCGGCATATGGATGGAAAGCCAACAGAGGTTGTTTTTCTACATTTCCTCTTCTACAGGAAAATCTCCACTTCCCAACACTTTTGCTCTTCAAATGATGCATCTTTTCACTCTTGGTTCCAAACTGAATGCTGACTGTTACTTTTCCCTTATGTTCAAAATGAGGAACCTTAATTTTAGTCCTGTTTTGTTTTACAGTTGTTTATTTATCAGGATTGTAGCTAGCCCAAAAGTCTTGGAGGCCAGCCAAAGAACTGGGGACCATCCTATTTAACCAGAACAATTGAGGGCGGGCTAAAGAAAATGTAGAGGAGCAGCCCTCCTGCCCCACTAGCCATGGGCTTTATATTTGCTTAGCAGCAAATATTTTTAGCTGCACATTGAAAAACAGTTTTCCCCTGAACTTGAACCATAGAAGAAGTTGTAAAAATATTGTGAATATATTTTCACAGATACATGACACTGCCACATGGGAAGTATGATCATATGGTTATTCAACTCAGTTTGTTCTTCATATATTTTCTTTGAAAATATTTTGTTGAAAGCAGAGCTTAAAATGGTAAAGATAGATACAATCTAAATTAGTTTTGAAAAGTGTATCTATAGAATTAGGTCCTGTTGAATTAGGTTTGGACCATATTTTCATTCCAGACATTTTTATAGTGTTTTTAGAAGTTTTTTTTTTTAAACTGTGGAGCTTTGTGTAAGTTTTAGAAGTTTTATTTTGTTTTTTAACCATGATATGACTATTTTAGGGCTTACACTAGTTTTCATCTATCTCCAGCTTCAAAATGGCAAGAACCTCCTGTAAGTTTTCAGCAGTCATGGTCAGAAGAGTCTTTAAGCCTGGGCTACAGGTCTATTCAGGTCTTCAGGTTGCCTACCCCTGGGATAATGGGTGACCTCTCTCTGCCTGAGATCCTAGACCAGTGTTGTCCAAACTTGGCCACTTTAAGATGAGTGGACTTCAACTCCCAGA